CTTTGCTGGAGAAGGCAATGGCACCCCACTCCAGTACTCTTGCCTGGAAAATCCCATGGACAGTGGAGCCTGGTGGGCTGCAGTCCATGGGGTCACTGCGAGTCGGACATGGCTGAGCAACTTCATTCTCTTTTCACTTTCATGCATTGGAGAAGGAAATGGCAATCCACTCCAGTGTTCTTGCCTGGAGAATCCCAGGGACGGAGGCGCCTGGTGGGCTGCCGACCATGGGGTCGCACGGAGTCTGACACGACTGAAGCAACATAGCAGCAGCAGCACCGTCTTTGCAGTGACAGATTTTCGATCTGAAAACATAGTATTTCCTTCCTTTTAGAATTTTTTAGATATACTGAAGTTTGCTCAAAGATTTCTTACAGTGTAGAAATGTTACGTATATCTTGTTAGCATTCTAGGTGTTTGACTTTTTTTGTTCTATTGTAAGTTAAACTCCTTTTAACATTTGGATTTTCTGTTTTTCACTCCTAATAAATTTCCTTTCATCTAGTAATCTTGCTAACTCACTAATTCTGGTAATTTGTGATTGTTTTATTTTTTCTTCCATTGTTATTGAGATATATTTGACATACAGCACTGTATAAGTTTAAGGGGTACAACATAATGATTTAACTGACATACCTTAGGAAATGACTCCCACAGCGAGTTTAGAGAATATCCGTCTTCTCGTATTGATACAAAATAAAAGATAAAGATTTCTTAGGAGAACTCTTAGTATTTACTCTTTTAAAACTTATATATATAACATACTACAGTTTTTAACAGATTAATCATGTTAATCCCTAGTACTTATTTATCTCAAACTGGAAGTTTGTTCCTTTTGACCACCTTCATCCAATTCCTCCTTCCTCCAGTCCCCACTTCTGGTAACCACAAGTCTGATCTCTTTTTCTGTTTGTTTTTTGAAGTTTAATTGACCTATAATACTATGTTAATTCCTAATGCATGAAATAGTGATTCCATATTTCTACACATTACAAGATGATCACCATAATAAATCTAGTTACCATCTGTCACCATACAAGATATTACATGATTATTTACTGTATTTCCCACTCTGTATATTTCATGCCAGTAGCTCATTTATTTTACAACTGGAAATTTGTACCTCTTAATTTCTCTTATGTATTCTATTCATACTCCCACCTCCTTCCCCTCTGTCAACTCTTAATACCTCCTTGCTTTCTATCTATGACTCTGTTTTATTATATTTGATTAATTTGTTTTTCAAATTCCACATATAAGTGAAATCACACAGTATCTGTCTTTTTCTAACTTTTTTCACTTAACATACTACTCTCTAGGTCTATTCATGTCACAGATAGCAATATTTCATTCTTATATGGCTGAGTAATCCTCCATTATACATATAGACCACATCTTCTTTATCTAGTTCATCTGATGATAGACATTTAGGTTGCTTCCATATTCTGGCTATTGTGACTAATGCTGCAATGAACAAAGAAGTGTGTATATTTTTCAAATTAGTATTTTTGTTTTCTTTAGAAAAATACTCAGAAGTGGAATTGCTAGATCAAAGACACTTGCTCTTTGGAAGAAAAGCTATGACAAACCTAGACAGAATATTAAAAAGCAGAGACATTACTTTGCATACAGAGGTGCATATAGTCAAAGCTGTGGTTTTTCCAGTAGTCATAAGTGAATGTGAGAGTTGGACCGTAAAGAAAGCTGAGCACTGAAGAACTGATGCTTTTGAACTGTGGTGTTGGAGAAGACTCTTGAGAGTCCCTTGGACTGCAAGGAGATCTAACCAGTCCATCCTAAAGGAAATCAGTCCTGAATATTCTTTGGAAGGTCTGATGCTGAAGCTGAAGCTCAAGCTCCAGTCCTTTGTCCACCTGATGCAAAGAACTGACTCATTGGAAAAGACCCTGATGTTAGGAAAGATCGAAGGCAGGAGGAGAAGGGGACAACAGAGGATGAGATGGTTGGATGGTATCACTGACTCCATGGACATGAGTTTGAGCAAGCTCCGGGAGTTGGTGATGGACAGGGAGGCCTGGCGTGCTACAGTCCTTGAGGTCACAAAGAGTCGGACACTACTGACCAAGTGAACTGAACTGATGGTAGTTCAGTCCTTAAGAAAACCAACCCTGAATATTCATCAGAAGAACTGTTGCTGAAGCTGAAATTCCAATACTTTGGTCACCTGATGCAAAGAGCCAACTCACTGGGAAAAGGCCCTACTGCTGGGAAAGATTAAAGGCAGAAGAAGGGAGTGGCAGAGGATAAGATGGTTGGGTGGTATCACTGACTCTAGGTGAATCTTCACAAACTCCAGGAGGTGGCAGAAGGCAGAAGAACCTGTCATGCTACAATCCATGAGATCGCAAAGAGTCGGACTTAGCAACAACAAATGGTAGTTCTGTTTTTAAGTTTTGAGGAACTTACATCTGTTTTCCATAGTAGCCGCAATCATTTACATTCCCTTCAACAGTGTACAAAGGTTCCCTTTTCTCCACATCCTCACCAACACTTGTTATTTGTTGTCTTTTTGATAACCGTTCTAAGAAGTGTGAGGTGATATCCCATTGTAGTTTTGATTTGCGTTTCCAGTGATGTTGAGTGTATCTACTGACCATCTACATGTCTTTGAGAAATTGTCTGTTTAGACCCTCTACCCATTTTTTAATCAGGTTGCTTGTCTTTACTGTTGTTAAGTTGTATGAGTTCTTTGTATATTTTGGATATTGACCTCTGATCAGAGGTAGTTTACAAATATCTTCTCCTATTCAGTAGGCAGCCTTTTAGTTTTGTTGATAGACTCCTATGCAAATATGTTTGTTTGACATAATCCTACTTGTTTATTTTTGGTCTTGTTTCCCTTGCCTGAGAAGACAGATCCAAAAAATAATTACTAAGACTCATATCAAAGAATGTGCTGTCTGAAGGAATCTATAATTCTTTTCCCCTTTCTGACACATTCATGTCCTCTGTGAATAATGCCATGCATTTCTTCCTTTCTGATCTTCAGTATCTTCTGTATCCTTGCCTTGTTGCACTGTCTGTGACTTCCACTAAAACGCCGAAGAGAAATAATACCAAGCATTCTGGTCTTGTTCTGACTTTGGAGGAAGACTTTCAATATTTCACCATAAAGTATGTTGTTTGCTGTAAGTTTTTTAAAACTCAGATCAACTATGTTTACTTTTATTTCAACTTTGCCAAAAGTTTCTGTTTTGAATGGATAGTGGATTTTATTTTTAAAAAGTCTTTCAACTGTATACTAAAATTTGCTGTTTTTCTCCAAATCTGTCTTCAGATCATTATCAGTTGTTTGCTTCCTGGCCCAGGATCCCAGTGCTCAACATTCCTAAGTAACACCTATTGCTTTCCCATGCTGCTGCCCCATTGTTCTTGTTCAGTAGCTAAATGGTGTCCCACTCTTTGTGACCCCGTTGACTGCAGCATGCCAGGCTCCTCTGTCCTTTGTTGTCTCCAGGAGTTTGCACAAATTAAATGTCCCTTGGGTTGGTGATGTTCTCCAGCCATCTCATCCTCTGTGGCCCTCTTCTCCTTCTGCCCTCAATCTTTTCTAGCATCAGAGTCTTTTCCAGTGAGTCAGTTCTTCACATCGGGTGGCCAAAGCATTGGAGCTTCAGCTTCAGCGTAGTCCTTCCAATGAATATTCAGGATTGATTTCCTTTTGGATTGACTGGTTTGATCTCCTTGCAGTCCAAGGGACTCTCAAGATCTTCTCCAGCACCATGGTTTGAAAGCATCAACTCAGTTTGAAAGCCGCAAAGGGCTCACCCTCCTTTATGGTCCAGTTCTCACATCCATACATGACTACTGGAAAAGCCATAGCTTTGTTGATCTTTGTCAGCAAAGTAATGTCTATGCTTTTTAATATGCTGTCTAGATTTGTCATAGCTTTTCTTCCAAGGAGCAAGTGTCTTTTGCTGTGTACTTGGCCCCAGTCACCCAAAGGATTTCCTATTGGTCGCCCCACATCCAAATCCCGTCCTCTTCTTTGAGTCTCATATGAAATGTCTGCTTGACATTTCAAATCAGTAGGGAAATGGAGAACCATTTTATAATTATCATGACAATTTGCTATCAAATTTGTTACAGAATAGAAACAATTAACTGAATCCCTATCACGCATTAAAAAATATGTACTCCTGCACTATTTATTTAAAATTTTTAAATGGATTTCAAAACTAAGTGCTATACACACAAACATACACTATGAAAGTTCCGTTCAAAAATAAGATAGTATAATGTTTTCATATGGAGGTAGAGTCTACATAGTATTTTGAACCTGAAAGCCATAATGGTAAAGAATGGCAGATGAAGTACATGTGAAATAAAATTTTTTCTTCATGAATGATACTTAAAATGAATAAATTGCCTGTGGAAAGTGTCGGCCACATAATTACCAGGCAAAGGGTTAATATACCCTGTATCCAAAGATTTTCAACCTGACCATAAGAAAAACAGCCTTATGGAGAAATAGGGGCTATGGACAGTCACCTGAAGAAATACCACATGACTACTAAACATATGAAAAGATGCTTACTAGTAACCTTACTAAGTGATCAAAGAAGTTTGAACACCACCAGATTCAGATTTTCCCACTGGCAAAAGCAAACCGTCAGGTTGTCAAGGCTGTGAGAGAGGTGGCCTCACTGAGTGCCATCAGCTCCAGAACTGTGCCAACAGCCCCAGAATGGAATGCCTTCCCCTCCAGGATCTTGCTGTCTACAGGGAGACAGGCAGACCAACTACAGAATGTGATCTGTACAGCGGAGATACGATCTCTGTTGAGGGCCTTGTAGGGAATCCCGAGTAGTTGGCAGTGATCAGGGAAGACTTCAGGAGAACAAGACATGTGGCACTAGTGGTAAAGAATCTGCCTGCCAATGCAGGAGACACAAGAGACTTGGCTTGGATTCCCGGGTAGATCCCCTGGAGTAGGAAATGGCAACCCACTCCAGTATTCTTGCCTGGAGAATTCCATAGACAGAGGATCCTGGCGGGCTACAGTCCATGTGCCTCAAAAGAGTTGGACACAGCTGAGTGAGCACAGATGTCAGCTGAGACCAAGACAAAGAAGAAATGGGGACAGTCTTGTGGACCCAGAATGCAAGAGCACAGAGCCTGTCCCCAGGATGGGTGGTGGTCATGCCCTTTTGGAGGGTGGAAAGCTGGCTGGGACCACCACGAAGCAGCCAGGGAGCAGATCAGGAAGTGCCTGGTAAATCTTGAAATAAGACTTGATTCAGCCAGTCAGTGGTTCTCACATTACCTTTCGGTTTTGCAAATAAATGCACTTGGGAGGCTCCACAAGTGTTTTATTCCAATCTCCTCTTTAGGAATATTTTTTGCTAGTTTAAAGCTTGTAAAACCAAAGAAATACCTACGCCCTCAAATATTTTGCATTCCAAGTTTTATCACCTTAACTGTGCTTCCAAAAGCCTGATGAACATGTTTTGGTGTAGACCACAGAGGAAAGCATCTGTCACTGCTGTAAATACAGTAGAACGTCATACAAATGTGTCATTGTTTGGGAAGGTGGAGCCAACTGTCTGGAGTCCTGCCCATACAAGGCAGGTATAATCAGAGCAGAGTTAGCCTGAAAATCAGGAGAGGCTAAGGAGCACCAGCTCTGCACAGAATCTTCAAACACTGAGAGTTCATTAAAAGGCACGAGACAACTTGTGGTAGAGTTTCAACACACAGTAAGTGATTTTCAGTGCTTTTTGTCTGAATTTGGCATTTGTGATAAGGAGGCAAGAATTTCTCAGATAGTTGTTAATCCCATTCAACTCTGAAACAGAAGTCTTTTTAAAGTTTTTTTTGATTGGACCATTTTTAAAGTCTTTATTGAATTTGTTACCGTATTATGTGCTGGTGTTTTGACCATGAGGCATGTAGGATCTTAGCTCCCCCAGCAGCACTTGAACTCACATCACCTGCATTGGAAGAGGAAGTCTTAACCACTGGACCACCAGGGAGGTCCTGAAACAGAAGTCTTAACTATTCCCACACTTCTGGATTTCCTGGATCCTTTGAATTGAAGAGCACTTATTCTCAAATCAGCCACTTGAATTTTTTTTTTAATGTGATTTCAGTTCATCCATTCAACACATATTTGAGTGCCTCCTGTCCACCAGGTGCCAGTGGGCACCATGCCAAGCACAAAGGATACAATAGAGTGTAAACGTTCATGTTCTCGGTCCTCGTGGAGCTAGATCCTGATCAAATAAACCTTTAAGCCAAATTAAGATGTCAACCAAACAAGATGTCAGCCCTGGTAAGTGCTGTCAAGGGGAGACACCCAAGTGCCTGAGGATGTAGCCTGGTCAGGGAGTTTATGGGAGGTGCTCCGGAGGAAGTAAAGCTTGTACTGTGGTCATGAAGGTGGGTTAATGGAAAGAGGAGGGCAGGGAGCAGGTGGCTGGGCCATGCCAGCTTCCAGCTTTGTCCTGATATGGAGAGAACCGGAAGTCCTTGATTTTGAAGAGAATGAAGTGCCATACCCTATCCCAGTGATTGCAGGGCACACCTTTTTTTGCATCTTCATATCTCCAAAATCAAAGTGTAATTAGCAGTTTTTTCTTTCTGAGCTAGACATAAAATAATGATACATACAACTAGAGTTGATGAAGTATGGTGATCAGGTTTTGCATTTTTAAGAGATTACTCTGGATGTAATGTGGAGAACAGACAAGATTATCTGCACGGATCAGGGTTTTCTTTATATTGCAGTAAAATGCAGAAACCTGCTCCTGCTGCTGTGTAATGGTAATTTCACTTTTACTTATACCTGTCTAATTTCAAAGTTCTCCTTTTATCAGAAGAGTTTCTTTGTTCATATAATTATTATTAATCTGAAATTATCATAAGATCTACATTAAAAAAACCCTTATATTCAATAGATAAGTTGACAAACAGATAAAAATGTGTACAGAATGTCCCTTAATAAAAGGGTTTTGGGGGCTTCCCTAGTGGTACAGTGGTTAAGACCCTGCACTTCCAATGCAGAGGGCATGGGTTCAATCCCTGGTCAGGGAAGTAAGATCCCGCTTGCCCCCACAGCCAAAAAATAACAGGGAAGGGGAGTTCTGCTATGGAAAACTATGATAACTGTGCTGTTCTGGGTAATAGGGATCCCTTGAGGGTTTTTGCAGAGAAGAATGATCAAAACTGCTGACAAAACTCTTAACTCTGGCCACAGCAAAAAAAAGTCATGAGGGAGAGGGAGGAAACTTCATGGGAATGAAAGGAGGGAAGCGGGTGATCAAACTCTTGAAACTCCTGTTTTCTATTTGGGGAAGAAGAAAATGGAGATTTAATTTTTACTTTAACTTGTAATCTTATAACCATCTAAAGGACTTTGTGAAGTAAGATATACAAATGATTGACATGATTCCCTTCCCTTCCTTTATCCTAGTAAGCTTCTTTAGTTCCAAGATAAGTCTTTTCTCTTCCATAAAACCATTTTGTCTCTTTGTTTTTTTTTTTTTTTAAGAGGAAGAGATTAACATTCAAAAGTAAAAAACTGTACACACGTTCCGACCCTTGCACACTGCCCTCTGTCTCAGCGGCCGCCCCCAGCCCCTCAGTGACTGGTGCTCCAAGTAAGACACTCTGAAGAGCCTAAGAGACAGTTACGTACATTTTTAGTGCTTTAGTATTTTGCTTACTCTTTCAGATTTATTTTTCCCAGTTAGTAGACTTTAAGCATCCAGCCAGTCCATCCTAAGGGAGATCAGTCCTGAGTGTTCATTGGAAGGACTGATGCCGAAGCTGAAACTCCAATACTTTGGCCACCTCATGCAAAGAGCTGACTCATTGGAAAAGACCCTGATGCTGGGAGGGATTGAGCGCAGGAGGAGAAGGGGACGACAGAGGATGAGATGGCTGGATGGCATCACCGACTCGATGGGCATGAGTTTGAGTAAACTATGGGAGTTGGTGATGGACAGGGAGGCCTGGTGTGCTGCGACTCGTGGGGTCGCAAAGAGTTGGACACGACTGAGCGACTGAACTGAACTGAACTGAAAGGATCTTAAGTGAAATATAAATTATTCCTCAACATTACCTTTGAATACTGCTTTACTTTGTTTTATTGGTTGTTTCTTGGAGGGAGGTTAGTAACACCACGCTCCCTCTGTTAATAGCATAACAGAGGGTGAATACATAAAGACACAGCAAACACATCCTCATTATAGTATCCACTTCAGTGTCATGTGCCTTTCACATGAGGATTGTGCATTTGGGATAATTCTGCCAAAATAGATAGGCGTGTGTCTGATTTGTGGAGAAATTGGCCATACAACCCATGTAGCTCTTGATTATGGATTGAATTATGTTTTCCCCAAAAAAGATACTTTGAGGTCTTTACCCCATTACCTCAAATGGTTACCTTATATAGAGATTGCAGATGTTACTAGTTAAGTAGGGCGGACCCGAAAGCAGTGTGACCGCCGTCTTTATAACAAGATAGAAGGCAATGTCATGACTAGGGCAGAACTGAAGTGATGCCTCGAGGAATGCCGAAGGTTGTCAGCAAACCACGGAAGCCAGGAAGAGGATTCCTCTACAGGCTTCATGAGGGAGCGTGGCCCTGCCAACGCTGTGGTTTCAGACTTCTAACCTCTAGAACTATGAGACAATAGATTTCTGTTATTTTAAGCCAGCCAGCTTGTAGCAATTTCTTAACAGCAGTCCTCAGAAACCAACATAGTATATGAGGATATTCATGGCCACTTACTCAACTCACCTGAATAGATCAATGGAAAAATATAGTTGCATGGATCCGCCAGTCATTGCATGCCTCGCCTTAAGTCGCCATCTGCCGCGTGCGGTCCCCCGCCCCTCCCCTTGTCACAGTTAATTGGACCAAGGTGGGACCTGTCTCTGGGCCCGTGGCTCTCTTGGCTAACCAGCAGCCATGTGACTTGTGTGTGGCCTGGTGTGGAAAAGATTTGAACTAAAAGGCTCAAGGGGATATGATCAGTTAGCTGCAGGGAAGTGAAATAGAAAGGTAAAAAGGAAGCTCGAAAAGGCCATCCTTAACTGTAAGCTACTGGCCAAAAGAGGAGCAGAACAAAAGACACCCAGGGCAGAAGAGAAAGGACCATACGGTGGGGGGTGGCACAGAGGAGGGGGCATGGAGCTCAGCTTTGGTGAGTTGGCAGCTTGCCTCTCTACACTCATCCTCACCTTTTAATGAAGAGCTCAACTTTGGGAGTTCTCTGATGGCCTAATGGTTAGGACTCTAGGCTTTCACTCCTGTAGCCAGGGTTCAATCCAGGGAAAAAAAAAAAAAACAACTTTTAGTTGGGCTTAAAGTTGCCCAGCCCATAGCGTACATGACCCACCATCCTGCAAAGTGGGTGGTTGTTCATTGGCTCAGTCACGTCCAGCTCTTTGCGACCCCATGGGCTGCAGCACACCAGGCTTCCCTGCCCTTCACCATCTCCCAGAGCTTGCTCAAACTCACGTCCATTGAGTCAGTGATGCCGTCCAACCATCTTGTCCTCTGTCGTCCACTTCTCCCGCCTTCAATCTTTCCCAGCATCAGGGTCTTTTCCAGTGAGTCAACTCTTCGCATCAGGTGGCCAAAGTATCAGACCTTCAGCTTCAGCATCAGTCCTTCCAATGAATATTCAGGGTTGATTTCCTTTAGGATTGACTGGTCTGATTTCCTTGCAGTCCAAGGGACTCTCAAGAGTCTAGATATGAGCTTGAAACTGAGTATTCAGGACGTGGAGTTGGGGGTGGGGCAGGAAGAGGGCATGGCCTTTCTGCATGGCTGCTGAGAGAGAAAGCCCGGGGCCAGGGGTAGGTGGACAGGAAGGTCAGCTCAGCCCCTGCCTCACCTGGCAGAGCAGCCAGGCTCCCCAGAGCGCAGGAAACAGCGCGCTCTGCCGCTCCACGGTCCCCACACGCTGGCGCTTTGTCTCTCTTCCTTGTGTCTCTTGACCTTCTCTGCATGAAAGTGTCAGTCGGGTCCTTTGGATTCCTCCTCTCCCAGAAGGCCCTCAGTCTTCATCCTGAGGAAGCCTCTGGAGATAATGATGGGCTTCTTGGCAGGTCAGTCTTCAGAGTCTTGAGGCTCTACAAGAGGCCAGGAGGGGAGGGTCTGCAGCTCTAGGCTGGCCTCCCTCTGCAGCAGGAATCGGTCGGGTCTCACCTGCCTCCTCTCCCCAAGGCCTTGACCGCTGCTTCTCCCTTCCTGTCCCTGGGTTTCCGTGTCCTGCTTTATGCTGCCCCTACCAGGTGCCCAGGGCTGGGCCTCAAGTTCACTTCCTCCAGACAGGGGACCTCGTGTTTTCTTTCAGCCGCTGCTCCCTGTTGGGGAGCTTTTTTCCATTAGACCTCCCTACTAGCCAGACAATCCTGTGTATTGCTCGTCCTCAGGTCAGGTGTTGAGTTGACCGTTTTGCCACCAGCGTCTGTCTTCCTTCTTGTGGTAACGGTGCCCAGATTTTCCTGGGAACAACGCTTCCCTCCCCCTCATCACACAGGATTTGAATAGTTGGACGACACATTGTCAATGGCCAGGTGACATGGAGAACACAATCCCAGCCAATTAGTTGCTAAGACTGTTGAGAAAGGAGTGTTTCCTTCACGTCTGCTGGGAGCTGTAATGATGCCACGGCGACAGAGGAAGAAGCAGCCAGGAGGTAAAAGGCAGAGCAGGTCTTTGCGGTAGGGTTTGCAGCTCCTGGAGCCTGCTGGTCCCACTACTGTATAAGCCAGTGAGGTTCTCTTTTTCCCTCAAGCCAGGTTGAAAGGGTTTTCCATCACCTCAAACTGAAAACGTCCTGACTGTTCCCGGTCAGATGACCCCTCAGTCCAGACGGCAGTGGCTGGGGTGGCCAGCCAGGCGTGACCTGTAGAGCAAAGTGTTCTAGGGGAAGGGCAGCCTCAGAGGCAGGAGGCTGGTGAGATGGGCATTTGGAAGTTCAGCATCTCCAGAGTGAATAAGAGCCTGCAAGGCAAGATCAGGTGGCTGTTGTGAGACAAAAGTTAAATTTAAAAAAAGAGTAGCTGTGAAAAGCAGGTGAGCAGCTACATGAAGCCTTCAGGAGCCCTGGCCCATTGGTAACTTAGCTGGCACACTGCAGCTCTGTATGTGAACCTAGACCAGCTGTCTAGTGGATGGCTCCCAAAATCTGGTCATAAAAACTGCCTGAGTTATGGGTTGAATAGAGGGGCCCAATGCTGAGTAGTGTGTGTTTGCTGAATTAAGTTCCTCCCACCCTCTCTGTCAAAAAACTACCTCTCCCAGATACTCCTCACTAGAGATCAGCTATGTTTGAGAAATCATAGCTCAATTGAAATTAAAGCAACCAAACAAAGGAGTTATTTGTGTAGATGTTCTAGGCAAGTTTACATTTCACATTAAAACACTTGCATTTATTTAACAGTTCCATTCCAGCTGTTTTATAAATATTATTATAGTATTCCAACTAGAAAAATAGTATCACACCTTTAAACATGATTGACTTGCTTAAAGCAAACAAATAGAATTCTTTTATTAGTACCTAAAGATCCTAGATTTTGTTACCATTTTAAATAAAAAAGAAAAACTTAATTTCTGATAAAAGCTTGCAAAACATCTCTTTTTTTAGCGTCTTTTTTAAGTGTTAGAAAATGGCGAACTTAGATTGATTCAGAAGAGAAACTTTATGAAGGTTTAGGGATTTATGAGCTAGTTTGAACTAGGTCTAGACAGCTAAAGATCATTGTTTTTTTTAGAAGCAGTTTTGGCAAAGCCATAAATCCAGTGGAGGGAGAATGGTGGGAATTATTGAGATGGGGCCCAGGGGAGGCAGGAAACAGCAATGTGGTCAAGGAGAGTTTGTAAATAGTAACCAGTTTTAGTAGTTTGATGTAGTAGTTAAACACATGGATTCTATGAGCCAACTCCACCATTCTCTAGTGATTGGACTACAGGCAAGTTACTACCCTTTGCCTCAGTTTGTTCAACTGAAAAATAGGTCTATTAATGATAGTGCAGAGGCTATGAGAAACAAGCTAATCAACTTCAAGAGCCCAGGACAAGGCCGGCACATTGTAAGTGTGCTATATATTTAGTAGTGCTCAATCATTCAGTTGTGTCTGACTCTCTGAGGCCCCAGGGACTGTTGCCTGCCAGGCTCCTCTGTCCATGGGAATTCTCCAGGCAAGAATAATGGCCTGGATTGCCACTTCCTACTCCAGGGGATCTTTCCAACCCAGGGATGAAACCCAAGTCTCCTGCGTTGGCAGGTGGATTCTTTATGCTTAGCACCACCTGGGAAGCTGGTATTTAGCAGTAGTAGTAGTAACCAGTTTGGGTGGTTTTTTTTTTTTAATATTTATTTATTTGACTGTGTTGTGTCTTAGTTGTGTATGTCAGATGCGATCTTTTGTTCTGTGCACGGACTTATAGTTGGGGCTCCTGGGCTTAGTTGCCTCATGGCATGTAGGATCTTAGTTCCCTGGTGGGATCTTAGTTCCCCCACCAGCGATTGAACCTACATCCCCTGCATGGCAATCTAGACTCTTAACCCCTGGACCACCAGGGAAGTTCCAGTAATGAGGTTTTTGATTGGAAGTGGAGAGATTTAGTAGTAGAACAATACTCATTCCTTTAAATAATAAATAAATAGATAATGCAAGCCCTTGCATGGAAATCTAAATTTATTGAGCTACTGACACTCAGTTATATAGAATTGCACCACTTCAATTAAGGCTTTTAGTTTGCATTTGGCTCAAAATAGTTTAACCTTAGGTTGGTCAATTTAAATACTGTGATTCCCTGTTTTATAGACGCACAGTCTTTACACCCAAACGTTAATACATACAAATCAACAAGGCTTTGTTAAATAAAACAACAATAGTTACTGCAACTTAGACCCTGTGAGCAATTACACATGATTAAAATTACTTCCCGCATTCATATCCACAGTACTCGTCCCCCATCTAACGTCTCAACTAAAATGTTACACTTGTGGGGACTTCCCTGGAGGTTCAGTAGTTGAGCATCCACCTTGTAATGCAGGGTACTCAGGTTCAGTCCCTGATTAGGGAACTAAGATCCCACCTGCTGCAGAGCTCATCTGTGCACCTCAGCAAAAGACCCTGCATGATGCAACGAAGAGCTCTCGTGCCTCAAGAAGACCTAACACAGCCAAGTAAATCAATGTTTGAACAAGAAAATTACACATGTGAAAAAAAGGCAAAAATACTAAACCTGTGCACTTGGTATTGCACGTGCACTATGCCTGAGCAAGCCGGGGGTTCACAGTGAAAATCTACAGCTGTAGAAGCTTTAGAAAAGGATTTACAAAAATTGTGTTTATAGTTGTGTGTGCAGTGGGGGGGGGGGGGGGTTCTACAACAGAAAGGCTATATTCAAACAATTTTTTTAATATTTATTTTTGATTGTTGATCTCTTTACAATATTGGTTTGATTTCTGTGATACATCGACATGAACTAACCATAGGTGTACATATGTCCTATGTACAATTTTTTAATGATTTCACTCATTATTTTTTAAGTCAGTTAAATGTATACTGTAAAAAAAAACCACCTCAGTGAAGAACACATGGCATCTGACAGGGCTAAAGCCTCCTTTCAGAATTCATCACCTTGCGCCTCAAAATCAGGTTCCCTTCCAGACTGGGTTTAGCATTTTCCTAGGCTCAAGTCGCCAGCTCCTCCCTCCTTGAATTTGCCCTCTTCCTTCCTTTATGTCCAGCTGGACAGTTGGACGTGAACTCCTGTCCTTCCCCCTTTGGACTCTGGTGTTCACCCGTCTCCCTCTCCACTCCCACATCGCTCTTTCAGACCTCCACGCGGTGCGACTACTTTGCCCTTAATTTTTCAAATACTGAGGAGAAAAGTGGTCGATCCTCATTATTCACAGACTCCACATCTGTGAATGTGTCTGCTCCCTTGGGAAATAACACCCCCCCTCCCCCATCAATATATTCCGGATACTTTCCCAGTCACCCCCGGGGCACATGCAGAGCAAAGATCCAGCCCACCATCGAGTCCACCAGCGGGTTCCCAGCGGACACCAGTCAAGGTGGTGCTCCACCTCCTTGTTTCAGCTCATTCTGTCAACAAATGTCCTCCTCACAGTCTATTTAGTGCCATATTTTCCTCATTTGTGTGCTGTTTGTTGGTGATTTTGCTCTTTAAAATGGCCAAATATAGTGCTGGAGAGCTGTCCAGTTTTCCTAAGCACAAGAAGACTGGCGTACCTCACAGAGAAAATACAAGTCAGATAAACTCCGTTTAGGCCTGAGTTATAGTGCTGTTGGCTATAAGCCCAGGGTTAATGAATCAACCACGTGTATTAAATAGTGTCTTTAAGCAAAAACACACATGAAACAAGGTTATGTATTGATCAGGGGAAAATGGGACCAGAGGCTCTAGGTACCCATCTCTGTGATTCCTCTAGGACAGAGATTCAGGATTCCCTCACTCAGCACTGGCGGTGACTTGATGGAACCCAAATAACTGAATGACAAGAACCAGCTGAGCATACACGTACACACACGCACCTGAGCTTTTCAGAATATGTGGTGCCTACATTTCACCTACAAGATATTGATCTACACAGTCTGGCCCCATTTCTTTTCTTTCTTTCTTTCTTTCTTTCTTTCTTTCTTTTTTTAGTTGTGGCACATGGGATCTAGTTCCCTGACCAGGGATCGAACCTGGGCCCCCTGCTTTGGGCCCATGGAGGCTTAGCCACTGGACTACCAGGGGAGTCCGTGGCCCCATCTCTTAATTTGGCTCCTAATACTCTTGGCAAGAACAAGGCCCCTGTTCCAAATTTTGTTCCCTGAACAAAAGTGGCAAATTTTTTTCTGCTCCGAATTCATTTCAGCCACTGCCCCTCCCCACTCTTTCTACCTCCTCTCCTTTGATGGGATCTACTGGGGTTCGGTTACAAGGACAGGCGCATGACCTAGCCCAGGCCGATCATTAACCCACCTGCTTCCAGGGTGGGTGTGGGAAATGACACCAACCAGACTAATATGATCATTCCCTGGGATTTTTCACCCTCAGTTAGAGTTATTTTGCTTTAGTGGTTTCGTCACTAAGTCGTGTCCGACTTTTGTGACTCTGTGGACTATAGCCTGCTGGTCTCCTCTGTCCATGGAATTCTCCAGCAAGAATACTAGAGTGGGTTGCCATTTCCTTCTCCACAGGATCTTCCTGACCCAGGAATTGAACCTGGGTCTCCTGCAGGGCAGGCAGATTCTTTAGCAACTGAGCTACGAGGGAAGCTTTGGGAATCCTCACACTGGGTGACGTGGGCTTGGACTTCCTAGCTGCCAGGCTCTGCATGAGGGACACGCACCTGTGGTGGAAATTCATGAGGCCAACAGCAGAGAGGAGCAGAAACAGGAGAGAGCGAGCCACTGATCTGATGCTGTCCTTTTGCACCCCTGGACCATGTCCTGCCTCAGGCCAGCCACACCACTGTCTTTCCAGGTTACACAAGCCAACACAATTGCCTTCTTACTTAAACTACTCAGGATTGAGTTTCTGTCTCTTGAGACCAGCAGTCATGAATAATACACCCAGACCTTTCTGATCTACCTGGAATGGCATTGCTCAAAGCCACACATTTCTGCCTCACTTGGATTTATTTCTCCCTAACTTGGATTTATTTATTTGCAAAAGTTAGTATACCTGAATTCCCTTCTGTGTATCTTCTCAAGACAGTTGTTGTCTGGAAAGGAGCTACTGTATAGCACAGGGAACTCTCTTCAGTGCTCTCTGGCAGCCTGGAAGGGAGGGGAGTTGGAGGAAGAATGGACACATGTGTATGTATGGCTGAGTCCTTTGCTGTTTACCTGAAACTCTCATAACATTGTTAATTGGCTATACTCCAACATAAGATAAATTTTTTAAATTATAAAAATATTTTTTTTAAAAAGGCTATTTGGGATAGACAGTAAAAGAGAAAACAGAATTGAGAAGATGAAAAGGAAATAAAACGGGAATAGAAATGTTGTGGCGCACCCCTAAGGGAAAGTAGAGAAGCAGAGGCAGGTAACCAGGACCTTAGAACTTCACTAAGCCAGGTGGTTGCAGTCATCTGCCAGCGTTCTGTTGTGTCTAAGGTGTCTGTGAGCTAAGCCCCTGCAACCTTTATGGGGGTCCTAGGTCCATCTAGTCAAAGCTATGGTTTTTCCAGTAGTCACGTATGGATGTGAGAGTTGAACTATAAGGAAAGCTGAATGCCGAAGAATCGATGCTTTTGAACTGTAGTGTTGGAGAAGACTCTTGAGGGTCCCTTGGACTGCAAGGAGATCCAACCAGTCAATCCAAAGGAAATCAGTCCTGAATATTCATTGGAAGGGATGGATGCTGAGGCTGAAACTCCAGTACTTTGGCCACCAGATGCGAAGAACTGACTCATTGTAAAAGACCCGGATGCTGGGAAAGGTGGAAGGCAGGAGGAGAAGTGGATGACAGAGGATGAGATGGTTGGATGGCTTTATGAACTCGAGTTTGAGCAAGCTCTGGGAGTTGGTGATGGTCAGGGAAGCCTGACATGCTGCAGTCCATGGGGTTACAAAGAGTCAGACATGACTGAGTGACTGAACTGAACTGATCCTCAGGTAAGGGCTTCCCTGGTGGCTCAGTGGTTAAAAAAAAAATAAAAAACTTCCTGCCAAAGCAGGAGACATAGGTTTGAAGCCTGGGTTGGGAAGATTCCCTGGGTTTGGAAATGGCACCCCAATCCACTATACTTGCCTCCGAAATCCCATAGATAAAAGGAGCCTGGCATGCTACAGCCCATGTAGTCGCAAAGAGTTAGACACGACTTAGTAACGGAACAACAGCAACAACAAATCCTCAGGTAAACGTCTCTTCAACTCACCCAGTGTCACCTCTATCCTTCAGTCTTTGCTTATGATATGCCTCCACCTGGAACACCCTTTCCCCCGTGTTTGCTTAGTTATCCATCCTGTTCTCAGATCTACCTTCCTCTCTGCCCAGAATGCCCTTAACCTGGCCTTTTTCAGGGGATAAGTTTGAGGACAGAGCTTGAGAAATAATGGATCAAATATAGGTTACCCCCAAATTTTCCATCTTAAACATCCATGTGACCCTGGATAGTGGCAGTGAGCAGCATGGAGTCATCAAAGCAAAGATAAACATTTGAATTAAGCAATAAGACACTGAAGAAACTGTCTCTTGACATGGTCACTGACAAGGCAACATCCATTTCTTAGCATCTCGAGATTGATGGTGGAAAGATAATTTCTTAACAAGAGACAGCAAGTGGGAATTAGGCTTTATGAATGTAAGCTGTGTAGATTCTAGGCTGTGAGAACCTCAGTCTCCATTCAGCTCACACACGGCCATGAATCTAGCTCTTAGCACAATGCTGAGTACATGGTGAGAGTGAAGGATTCAGTAAGTATTTGTTGGGTTAAGAAATATTAATCCCTATTTGCTAGAATATTTTAGGAACAAGCACAGAACACATAAATGGCACAAAGAATGGAAGTGGTAGGAAGTCACATCATAAGAAGGATTTCTTCAAGATGTGACTCTGGGATTTGGATTTTTAAAACGGGGAATAGATATTTTCAAGGGAAAGAATTCTAGGCAGGAGGATTGCATTTTAGCAAAGTCACCGAATTGTGATACTACAGTTTGAAACTGCAAGTGATGTGTTGAAATGTGGAGTGTAGTCAGGGGTTTAGCATGAAATGATGCTGAAGGTCACTCTGTCGGAGCCCTTGTATGCCACACCAAGGATTTCAGTGAAAATTTAAAAATCACATTCATATTGGCATTCTTCGTATACCCATGACTGAAGACTGATCCAGGGATGTTCATCCTCTTCAACCAAGCACGTGGAGCAGTGAGGGAGGAAGGGGACACCCACCTAGCCAGCCAGATCAGTCAAATCAGATCAGAGGGCTTCCCTGATAGCTCAGTGGTAAAGAATCTGTCTGCCAATGCAGGAGACTTGAGTTCCATCCCTGGGTTGGAAAGATTCCCCTGGAGAAGGAAATGACAACCTACTCCAGTATTTTTGCCTGGATAATCCCTGGACAGAGGAGCCTGTGGAGTATAGTCCATGGGATCACAAAAGAATCGGACACATAGCAGCTAAACAACCACAGCGAGAGGCCTTTGGCTGCCATGTTGGATGTAGCCTGATTTAAGTGTAGAGCTAGAGAGCCCTCAAGAGACTTTGTCTTGATCCTCAAGAGCACAGTGGAGCTGAAGGGAATGTCAAGGGTTGTTAAGGAAGTGAAATTAATAGAATTTGATCATGGAGTCAGTGTTCTGTGATGGCAGAGAGGTAAGAGTCTAGAATGACCCAACTTGTGCCACCAAAATAAGGAGTGTGAGAATAGGTAGGTTTGTAAGAGAAGATGATGAGATTCAAATTTCTTATAGTTGATTGCAAGATGCTGTTGGATTACCCAGTAAGCCACTGGTGAATTTAAAAGGACTTTGGAGATTAGAAGTGCAGATACAAATTTTGAGTCAGGGACATTTACAGCTGTGGATGAGATTACTAGGAGGGAGGGAGAGGAGAAGTCAGCTAAGGCAGAGATTTAACCCTGAAGCACAATTCAAGGCAGAGGAATGCCCCTGTCCGCATGTTTGCATCTTCTTACTTTGGGGAGGAGAAGTGTACATCACCGATACTAGTGTCATAAACTACACAGTTCGAGGATGAGTTAAACCTTTTTCCTTTTAAGTAATGAAATGCATTTGCAGTGGAAATGGTCTGATGGAACAATGTTGATAAAGGCGGGGGAAATGGCTCCTCTTGGGTGATGTTGACAAGAGTGTAAAGTAGTACATCCTTCCTGTGGCAGAAACCATTTATTGTCCCTAGTATCTATTTTCCCCTGTTTGCAGTAAAAAATTACCTGATTTTTAGCTGAACAAATGAACATGGGGGGAGAAAAAGACTACATTTCTCAGTCTTCTCTGCAGCTAGATGTAGCCACGTGACCAAATTCTGGCTGGTGGGATGTTGGGACAAGTGGTGGGTGTGCCTTCACAAGAGTCCTTAGAAGTTGTATCCTTTTTTGTCCCTTCATCCTTCCTGCTACCTGAAACACAGATGCAATGACTGGGACCTGAGCAGCCACCCTGTGCCATGTAGAAAAGTCAGATTCTAAAGATAATGGAATACTTCAAATGGAAGATACCTGGTTCCTTGGGTCACATATTGCCTCCTCTCTTATATAAACTATCTGTAAGCCGCCTTTGGGTGTTCTGTCATATTCCGCTAAACCTAATCCTGACCTATATGCTTCCCCAAAGCAGTCCAGCAATATTTAGTCAGATATTGTATGTATGTCCTTTTCCCTGGCATCCCACCTCAGGGAATCTGTTCTTGGGAGATAATCACACAAATTTGAAATGACCCATAAAATGAAGGTTCATCAGAATGTTGTTTATAATAACCAAAAACATGGTGGTGGTATGGGGGTGGGATGGTGCAAACCAGAAGTCTTTCAACACACACACACACACACATACACACACACACACCCATGCAATCAATCTATAGATGTATATAGAGTCTGAGAAATGTTTGAAGAATGTCTGTAAGAATATTCTTTACCACTAGTGCCATCTGGAAATCCCTCAAGAATACTCTTTAATGCCTGGAAATGATATTTAAATTTTTTTTTTTATCTTTCTCACCGTGTTTTAAAATATTTGAACTGTATACTGTCAGCTTTATCATTCTACCAAAAACCATAAAGACTTTTTAGTGTTTTTAAATGTTCTCTTTAAAAAACACCATTAAGAAAAGAAGTGTGAGGAGTTTTGCCAACTTACTGTTGAGGAAGCGGTGTGGCCACTGTTGCTCAAAGTTAAACAAATGAGAACACGCTCCAGGAAAACTGACTCAGCTTTTTGAGGTAGTCCGTGTTAGGTGGAGACATCCTAATTGGCAGGTTTTTTTAACTTTCTACTGAAAAAATAACTGGAACGTAGATGATCTCCTTAATGATGAATATACTTCCATTCTTTCATTTTACTTTTGTAGGTCTGAGGAGTTGAGGTGGGGAAAGGAAGTATATTGATGATGTCAGAGTAAACTTGATCATCACAATGTAAGAACTTATTGTCATGGAAACTTTGGGTTTTTATAAATGGCTCCGTCCCCTACAAGTCAGCCTGTGTAGCTTTCCTCCCCATTCCAACCTCAGAGCATTTATTACTTTTTATGTTTTATTTCATTTCATTTTATTTCTTTTTTAAGAAACTAATTCTATTCAGTTCAGTTCAGTCACTCAGTCGTGTCCGACTCTGCGGCCCCATGGACTGCAGCATGCCAGGCTTCTGTGTCCATCACCAACTCCCAGGGCTTGCTTGAACTCATGTCCATTGAGTCACTGATGCCATCGAACCGTCTCATCCTCTGCCATCCCCTTCCTCTCCTGCTTTCAATCTTTCCCAGTGTCAGGGTCTTTTCCAATGAGTCAGTTCTTCACATCAGGTGGCCAAAGTGTTGGGAGTTTCAGCTTCAGCATCAGTCCTTCCAATGAACATTCAGGACTGATTTCCTTTAGTATTTCTTTGGCTGTGCTGATTTTTGTTGCTGTGCAAGCTCTTTCCTAGTTGCAGCGCGCCGGGGCGCTGCTCTTCCTTGCGGTGCGAGGGCTTCTCATTGCAGTGGCTTCTCTCCTTGCAGAGCGTGGTCTCCGGGGCGCTCGGGCTTCAGTAGTTGCAGCACGTGGGCTTAGCTGCTCCACGGGATGTGGGATCCTTCCAGACCAGGGATCAGACCCAAGTCCCCTGCATTGGCAGACAGATTCTTATCCACTGTACCACCAGGGAAGTCCTATTTTATTTCCTGTGTTACAAAAAGCTTACTGTATTTACAAAGAAATGAGATGCATATAATACACTTTACAGCAGTTAAAAGGAAATAAAATTGTAGGGTACTTTGAAGAAGTAAGGCTACTTGTAATCTATTTCCTGGTAGACCTGTTTAAGGCAGCACTTCCCAGTTCTAAAATTCTACAGCAATAAGTCACCCTCCTTTCTTTGAGAGATTGCCTGCCAGTTTGATTGGAAGTAGTCTGAAGCCCAGCCAGCAAAATGTTTAGCCCTTTTGTGAAGTTTAATATCTTTTTCTCTTTTGTGGCCATTTATTAAATAACACTGCATGAGAAGTCCTCCCTCCCTTTTATCACAATTTCCCCAGCACCTGCACTTAACTTAGCATTTCAAAAAAAGAAGAAAAGCAGCAGGCAGCAATGAGTTAGCCCCTTTTTAAGCCCTGCTGTAAAATCAAATGTGGCTGAATTATAGTCTTAATTTTTAAATGTATTCAACGTGATTAAATATGATTAAAATACTAAGCTTCACTTATCAGAAAATAGCCTGCTCATTCACAGAAAGTGCTTTTGTGATAATTCCATAATACTAAGGATTTCTGAGCTATTGAATTGCTTGGTATCTTTAGTTCATTCTCTTTGATGTTTAAAAGAAATACATAAATGCATAATGAGTATATGTATAAAGATCTGTTTACATACAAGTAAATTAATGTAAACTACATCTAAAATGTTTACTAATACAACTCTGTAAATAGAAGTTAAAATATCAATACTATTTACATAAATAAGAGTTTGTATCTTTCAAAGTATAGTTTTATGTAGTGTATATCACACATTTGATGGGTTCTGATACCTACAAAACTTCATGTCACTTTCAACAATATAGTCTACTGGAAGAATCTGTCACCTTTCCTTTTTAAATTTTTTAATATTTATTTTTATTTATTTATATATTTGGCTGCACCGTGTCTTAGCTGTGGCATGTGAGATCCAGTTCTCTGACCAGTGATCACACCCAGGACCCATGCATGGGAAGCTCAGAGTTTTAGCTACTGGACCACCAGAGAAGTCCCATCTCTCACCTTTCTTGATAAGTTGATGTTTTAATTTATTCAATAATTTGTTCAATAAGCACTGACCAACTTTAACTTTGTACCTTTCACCATGGGCACTTGGCAGGTTAAAAAAATAATAATAATAACTAAGACTTGGAGATGGCTTTGTAGTCTAGTGGTAGTAACAAAAGATAAACAGGGTTCAATGGACTCCATGCCCCCTGAATAAAACTCTCCAGTAGATACAGGGGACTGTTCTGGGAGGAGGAGGAAACCAAGCTAGGAATCCCCCGCTTTTCAAAAGTTCGCTTTTCGGAAAGATAGACATCAGTATCTGCTTTGACTAACTGAAACGAATCCAAAGTTTTTCACTTTTATGAAAAAAAAAGTGAAAAGCAAAAATAATGCAGGACATCATTTTACAGTGGCCCCTTATAGAAGCAGCTCACACCCCGAGCAGCCAGAGTGGTGCTACCAGACTCCTTCCCCTGAAACCACACTCAGAATCTCAGCAGCAGTGACCATAGCTTTGAACTGTGTCTGTGAGCATCGGTGCTTGATGTTGATTTATTTTGTGCATCCATTAACAAAGTGTGTCCCGAAGTCATTGCTGCTTCTTCACTTTATGCCATTCCAGTTTAGAAAATGTCGCATAGGAACTCGGAACTTCCAGATTGCGGGGAGGAGTGGAGTAGCTGTAAAATAAAGGTTGGTGTGCCGTTAGATATGGAGGTTGACAGGATCCTAGTATTTGCAAGATGGATTCAGTAACATGATGCGTGAGAATGAAAAATGAGGAAATAATGACAAGGAAGATGATTGCTTTTTCCAAGAAATTTATTTATAAAGGTAGGGAAAGCATGATCAAAGGGTTGTTGTAGTTATTGGAAAGGAAAGGTTTGAGCATGTGAAGGCTAAGGGGAAAGAGCTGATGGAAAGGGAGATGACAAAGTGATTTGATTAAAATAACATGAACTTTGGTGTCAGAACTGAATTAGAATCTTGTTTTTTTTTTAAAAAAAATTCTTGTTAGTTGTGCAACCTCAGCCAATGAAACCACCCCATGAATCTCACTTTTCTCAACTATAACATGAAAACCCGGCATATGAATGAAGTTTCTTCACTCATTCATATAATTATCTTTAATGGCAGGTGCTGAACATGCGGTAAAGGGAAAATACATGTCCTTGCTTTCTGGGATCTTACAGACTGGAAGATGTAATTGTAAAGAATATAAATCAGCAAATGTAAGGGAGTTGTTTAGGAGGATAAAAAGGTTTTGACGACCCGGTTATTGTTTGGATTTTGGTTTTTGGAGTTTGGTTATTGTTTGGAGTAAGAGGAAAATTTGTACAATAGACAGTGGTGTGGGCATGTGTCCTAACTGGATCAGAAACATGGGCAGGAATTCCTCCTTTTCCATGGTTGAGAGAGAATAAAGTGAAATGTATAGAGCACTTAGAGTTTCAACAGGGTCAAATCAATTTTGCTAACCATAATTATTAATACTGGTCATAGTATTAATAATACTAGTAGTATTACTAATATTATTGTTGATTCCCATTTGGCAAACAGTAATGCCTGAAGGTCAGCAAAATTTTTCTCTAAAGTGTACCAGATAGGAAATATTTAGGTTTTGTGGGCCATATATGGTCCCTGTTGTATATTCTTCTTTGTATTTATGTTTTTTTGTTCTTTCCTTTTTTAAAATGTAGAAACCATTCTTAGCTCAAGCTGTGGGCATATTTGGCCTGCTGGCTGGAGTGTGCCGAGTCCTAGTAATGCCATTTCCCGCACAAGAATCAGCAAGAGGGGACAAGAGGGGAAGGGACTGAGGTGGCATATCCAGGTAGAGGTGTCCTTAGGCCACAAGATCAGGGCTGGAGATATAGCATGAATCATTGATACATAGGTGGTAAGAAGTCAAGGAAAGAATCTTCAAGATGGAAGAGATCACCCAGGAAGGCTGTGTAGAGTCTACCCAGGAAGAGGAGGAAAGGGCCATGGATAGGACTACAGGGAGCCCTGTTCTTCTCTAGGATCGGAGCCAAGGTCACAGCCCCAAGCAGGTTAACCGGACACTCCACAAGAGGTGGAACAGTTTCAGTGCAGTGGCTTACATGCTGTCACAGGTTATGCATAGGGTCCCCTGGGAAGGCACGTGGGAAAGGCATTTAACCAGCCTTGCCTTGAAATGGGAGCTCAAAATATGACACCTTAACAGTCTTGTGAGATGCCCAGGAATTAGCCAAGTATTCCAGGTGGAAGGAATAGCCAGAGCAGAGAGGAGAAGGAGACAAATATAGGTGCTGGTTTGTAGACAGATTAAGGCATACATAAGGCATAGGCTGGGATGGATAAGTAGGACCAGATCAAGAATGCCAGTGCCTTGAAAGGGATGGGGAACCCTGGAGGAGTTTTAGGTGAAGAGTTGACGCAATCCCATTGATGTTTCAGAAGGAGCACCCTGGCAGCAGGGTGAAGGATGACTTCCAGGAGGGTGAAACAGGGGTTGGTGGGTATAGAAAACATCTGGACCTGTCCAAGAGGAAAATACTTAGGGTTCCTTCATCCGAGATAGGCTGGTAAATGGTTTTCAACTGATTCTCCAAGGGAGAAAGCCCTGATGCGTAGCAGTTGCCAGTTTCTGTGGTATAAATGTTTCCATCATGACCACACTAAGGCAAATAGTGGGAATACAAAGAGGAGGTGGATTAGAGAGAGAAGTTGAATTGATATTTAGTGACTGATCAAATTGGTGTGAAGAAGTATAGACTTTCCCAAGCTTTTGTGGGATTGAGATTGGGATATCACTGAAATAAGGACAATAAAAAATAAGTAAATCTACACAGTCTCTCTGCCCCTACTGGAGTGTCAATTCCATGAATATACGGATTTTTAATTAATTCCTACACTGTTGTGTCCCTAGCACCTAGAACAGTAAGTATGGGATGGTCCGTGGTTGACACACAGTTTTGGGGTGGGGGGAAGTTTGTTGTTGTTTGTTTTAATTTTCTTTTTTGACCATGCCACAGGCTTGTGAGATCTTAGTTCCTTGACCAGGGATTGAACCTGGGCCCTCAGCAGTGAAAGCACAGACAGACTCCTAACCCCTGGACCACCAGGGAATTCCCTTAATAAAATTTTTTTGAATGAATGAATGAATGAATAA